GAGAGAGAATAGATAGATAGATAGATGAGATAGATAGAGAGAGAGAGAGATTGAGAGATGAGAGGAGATGAGGAGGAGAGAGAAGAGAGATGATGAGATGAGGAGAGAGAGAGAGAGAGGAGAGAGTGAGATGAGATTCGACGAAAGACCGAGATGCGATAGAGAGAGTGAGAGAGAGAGAGAGAGAGATAGAGAGATAGATAGATAGATAGATATATATATATATATATATAGAGAGAGAGAGAGAGCAACACAAGGATTTGTTTAGGAATTTTGCCAGTCGTCCTCACTATTGATACATCTCCCCCTAATTCTAATTTGGAACTAATATAATTTTTCTTACTTTCCAAAAGAATGATTACAAGAGAAGTGTTTAAGAGAAACCCTACAAACCCTAACTGTTTAAAGTTGATTTAACCACTTCTCTTCATTTGATCTTAAACAATACCAAGACACAATAGCTACCAATTGAATTTTTGATATTGCTACTCCTTTGTGTTCTTTATCTCCAAAGCTTTCGGCACCATTAATTATATCTATTGCACACAATACTTCAATTTGATTCACCGTTGTCGTGCTACTTTTGTTGTGTTATTTATCTCAAAAGGGTCCTTTGTATTCTTTATCTCCAAAGGCTTTCACTAGGGTGCAATCCTCTCTTGAACGTCTTACATGGAAACCCCCAAATCAATTAATGACCTTAGAGGATAAACCCACGATTTTTCCAAATGAAGACCCCTGTAAATATCAACCCAATATTCTCGGCTACATAAGAACCTAATTGGATGTTATCAAATCTCGTCTAGATGGCACCCCAATAAGATGATTATGTGTGATTTGTTAGTGTGTATGCATAGGTTGGAGGTTGAAGGTGAAGAGGAATTGCATGAAATTTTTATGGTATCATCAAGTTGAAATGATGCATGAATGATGTATTTATAGTTGTGGAAGTTTAGATGCAAAGAGGATATTTTAGAAATTAAAAGAAACTAAAAAATTGACCCAATCAAACAATATATGTTGACCTGGAAATCATATGTGTCGACACATAAGTAAAAAATTAACCTGATGTGTCGACCTGAAAAATGGATGTGTCGACCTAAGCATGGCAGTAGCTTTAAGCCTTTAAAAAACTACAGTATGTGTCGACCTGAAATTCGAATGTGTCGATGATGATTGCCAAATTGTTGTGAATTTAAGTATGAATAATTAGCATTCATCGGCTTAAATCATTTTCTTTTTGTCAATAAACCTCAACTTTAGTATATATTCGGTATAGTTTATATTATAGTGTATTTATTACATTATCGTGTAAATATCATTGATTTTAATTATTTTCATCTCATTTTTGTAGGTATTCAAGCATTGATATTTTTTCATTGTTAGAGATATCATTGAATAAGCTTTCCAATGCTTCAAACTATTTGCAAATCGGAGTTATGGTTCTCAATATATGACCGAAACAAGTGTTGAATTTTTCAATTTACTGACAGGTGTTGTACCCCAATTTTTGACCTAAGATCCCATTTTTATTTTGCATTTTTAAAGATAAGTCAAGGTCACTAAATATGGTCGGTTTTAACCTCTCACCTTCGAGCATTGGCTATGCAGAAATTGTCAAGTATTTTAAACATTCTTAGCTTATGTATCATTAACTTCTACTCCAGCATGTGTATTTTTCGTTTCTTTGATTTCATTTGCAGGAAACAGATCTGAATCAAGAGCATCAGGCGTCATGCCTCGATTAGGGTTCCGAATCTCTCAAGCCAGAAGTACAGTTGATCGTTGATTCTTGAAGACTGATTCATCAGGGGAATCGTGTTTTTATTTCCACGCCTTGTTCGATAAGTGGTCTCGAGCTTCTTCCAAAATTCCCTAAAGCACAGTCAAGATTTCATCATCACTGGTTTACATGTGCATCAAGATGCTTTATAATGCAAAGAAAGATCAAGTTTGCAAGTCAATTTAAAGCACTTCGACCAAAATTCAACTTTTTGCAAGATCAAGTTCAAACGATCATAACTTCTTCATTATTCCATATTTTTGAGTGGTTCTTTTTGCGTATGACTCTCCTTGATGTCATCTCCCACTCCTCTTTACAAGTCAAGAGTTGATTGTATGTGGAGGATCATCTAAAATTCGAATACTTTGGAGGTCTTTTTGCAAATTTAACCTAATCACAAGAAACTCTTGTCCAGATTTCGAGGTTCATAACTTCTTCAATTCTCAACGTCCCGAGGCAATTCTTTTTGTGAAGTGTCACAAATAGCATTGTCTATGAGATTACTTCAAAGGTCGAGGTCAATTTGTGCTTGGTTCAATTTATGCCACAAACGTTTTCTCAAAGAACGTTTGATTCTTATGTTAAGATAATTCATCAAATAAGTTGTTGAGTTTGAAGATTCATTGATCATCTATTGCTCGTAATTCAAGTCACTTGTGTTTGAGCGTTAATGATTAATGGAGCGAAGTTGGATTTTGATTAAATTTCTTAAGGCATTTGTTTGTTCATTAAGATTCGATTCATTAAAGTTTTAACATTTACCTTTCTTTCAATTCATACAAATTCCTTTTGATTTAAGGTCATTATGCCAAGATTCAAACATTCATTATTTTAAGTTGCACACCATTCAACTTTCAAGACAATGTTCAAAATTCAAATGTCAAGTTCAAATGCCATTCAAAGTTGCAAATGTTTTTCAAGAGTGGTTCGAATACAAGGGACAAAAGTTCCATCCAATTTATAATGCTTACAATTTGGAATTATGGAAATTTTGAATTCAAATATAACAAGTTACAAATTCTAAACCATGTTTCACCAAAAGTTGTCATTTCACTCAAACACTCAATGTCATGATAAAAGTTACAAATTCAATCATCAAATGATCAAATACATCAATTCAAAACTACGAAGTCCTATTTATAAATGACATCAAGCTCCCAAAACTCATCCAAACCTTGCTTCAATTTTCATCCAAATCTGTCCACCAAAACAACAAAATATATGAAAACAAAATCAGTCCAATTTCAAAAGAAAAAGAGAGGGAAGATACATGTATTGTTACATGGTAAAATCATAAAAATACAAAATAAAAAGGGACCTTTCAATGATAATTTTACTGCTGCAATATGCCAAAAAACAACCCAAAAACTATCTTTTGTCTGCTGTCCAAAACCAGCTGCTACAAACTCTACCTTACAGTCCCAAAACTGTGTAAGATCTGTCCAAAACCAACCTATGTTGCAGCAGTCAAACTAGTTCTGCTATGCTGTCCCAATTTTGCACAAGAATAGAAAACCACCAACCTGCATCAAGAAAGCAAGAAGAAGTGAACAAAAACAATTTCAACCCTTCTATTTCAAGGCACATCATAATCCCTCATCTGGAAATTCCCCCTTCAAAAACAGAACAAACACAATTCCGCCTTCCTTCCATCTTCCTCTGTTATGTTCATCTTCCACGAAGTTCTCCACAAACCAGCCATCATCTCCATTACATACTCAACTAACCTTCACTCCAAACACTCCATACCCCCTCATAAACCAGAAATCTTCATCACCTTTTTAAACTGTATCAGACCTCTACAATCCACCTTTCAACTTACAACCTAACTATTGTTTACCCAACTCATCTCTATAACCTTTCACCAAAACCTTCATCACCTTTTATTCGCTCAAATCCACAAGACACTCTCCATCTGTAATGTGCATAAAAACATTCAACAACTCAACACAGCATTCGCAACAATCGGATTTCAGAATCTATAAGGGTTCAACAAGAAGAAGAGAAAGATAGAAACACACAAAGATACAAAAAACTAACAGTAGCTAACATACTCACATTCACCAACCTTACATCGTCGTCTTCCTCTCTCGCTCATGAACCCTCCGTTCCTCATCATCAACGTTCGTAACGTCATCCACCACCTACACCCCTCCAATCGCACGATGCCACTACTCCAATCACCGTTGAGCTTCGGATCTGCGCAACAATCATACATCCGATGCGAGATGCCCGACACCGCCGCCACCCATTTAAAGATTCCTCCGCCACGAGTGATTGCACAGCCATCGCGATCTCTCGATGTTGCTCGTCCCGGCCACATATCAGTGCAAGTTCATTTTGATGTTATCACTTTTTGTTTTGACCATGAACTTGTGGTGTTTGTTTGTATTTGAAATTGGGGAAAAAAACGATGAAAAGAAGGAAGCAGAGTGTTGGAGAAAGAAAGAGTAACCGAGTTTGGATCTGAAACTCTCTCAACGTGTAAGTATTTTGGGTTTTCATTTCATTTTTTATTAATCAATTTAATTCCACATGTCATTTTCTGCATGGCTGTAATTTCAAGATGAATTGGTCAAAACCTTCCCCATGAAACATTTTCCGCCCCATACTTATCTTTGTTGTAACTTTCATGTTATTTCTTCTTTTTTATTTTTATTTTATCTATTCTCCTTAACTTGGGCTGGCCATTCCCTCTTTGAGCCCATACGAAATACAAGACGATTTCTTCCCTGTACTGCCCTACACCATAGTTCTATTCAATTTAGATTTGATTTTTTTTCTAAGCTATATTTCATTTATTTAGGTTAGTTAGTTTTAATTAATCATATAATTTTGTTCTTAAATTAGACATTTTGTTTTATTTAGTTTAGTTTGGAGTCAACTTAATATTTTTCTTTAGAATTAGTTGGTAAGTCTAGAATTTTTTATATTAAGCTTAGTTAGTAAATTTAGAATTTTATTTAGCTTAGTTAGTAATTTTAAAATTTCCGTTCAGTAGTTAATAATGTTAGAATGTTTAACTTAGTTAATAACTTTAGAATATTTGATTTAGCTTAGTTAGTGATTTTATAATTTAGTTAGTAAATTTTAGAGTTTTATTTGTTTTAGTTTTGACTTAGTAAACTTTAGAATTTTATTTTGTTTTAGTTTTATTTTAGTAACTTTAGGATTTTATTTCATTTAGATTTGACTTAGTAAATTTTAGAGTTTTATTTGTTTTCGTTTTGACTTAGTAAACTTTAGAATTTTATTTTGTTTTAGTTTTATTTTAGTAACTTTAGGATTTTATTTCATTTAGATTTGACTTAGTAAATTTTAGAGTTTTATTTGTTTTAGTTTTTGACTTAGTAAACTTTAGAATTTTATTTTGTTTTAGTTTTATTTTAGTAACTTTAGGATTTTATTTCATTTAGATTTGACTTAGTAAATTTTAGAATTTTATTTGTTTTAGTTTTAATTTAGTAAACTTTAGAATTTTATTTGATTTTTATTTAGGTTAACTTTAGAATTTTAGTTGTTAGTTTTAGTTTAGGGACTTTAGAACTTTATTTGATTTAGAATTAGTTTAATAAGTTTAGAATTTTAGTTGTTTAGAATTAGTTTAATATTCTTTTAGAATTTCATTTGATTTAGATTTAGTTTAGTAACTTTGGAACTTTTTTTGTTTTAGATTAGCAACCTTGAAATTTTTATTTAGTTTAGATTTAATTTACTAATTTTAAAAATGTTTAATTTAGCTTAGATTCAATTTAGTAATTTTAGAACTATTTTTGCAACCTTAGAATTTGTAGTTAGTTTAGAATTTTTTTTAGTAAGTAATCTTAAATTTTTAATATAGTTTAAATAACTTCTTTAGATAATTAGTTACATTCTCTTTTATTTTATTTAAATATCTTTGTCATTTTAATTTCTCGATGCCTTTAGGTCATTAATCTGTTTCGTTATATTTATTTTCTTGTGAATTTTGATTGCTTATATTTTGATGTCTATTTTATTTTGCTCGCTCGATTTAATCCAAGGGAAAGAATTAATTTGTTGACTTCATGTCATCGAGTATCTAATACGATTATGTGAAATCCCTTCATACCTTTTTTTAGTTTTATTAATCTTAAGACGAATCTCCTACAAATCCATTTTCAAACTCACACCTTTTAAGTCAAAACTTCGACACTAGGTCGTCGTATCTTCAAAAATCTCGTCCATACCCATCTTTTAGCCAAACGAATCATTTTAATCAAACAAACAATTTTAAACAAAAAAAAAACAGATATTTCAAAAGGTTCCTGCGGAGTACCGCAGATGCAGTGGGTGCTAATACCTTCTCATTGTATAACCAACCCCCGAACTCTCGATCTCTTTTAAAAATGCATTGTATTTTCATTACTTTTAAATATTATTTTACATTGCATATTTTAGGGTTTTATTTCGCTCTTTTCCCTTTTCCCTTGGAAATAATAAAGCGCGGTGGCGACTCTTGCTTTTGTGAGTCAAGTTAATTAATAGCTTGATCTCCGATTTTCACCGCTACAGAATTGGCGACTCTACCGGGGAAAGATTGACCTCTTGCTGGTCCATCCCTAAGTGGGTTAAGCCTAATTTGTTTTATCTGTTTTATCATTATTTGATTGTTTGATTATATGTATATATTATGATTATTTGGGTGGATAATATTTACAAAGGACACGTCCTATACCCGGACTAAGTTACACTTAGGAGTAGGACGAGCGGTATAGTCATGTTAACTTTGAGGGAGTAATCCCGAAGAAGAAGGCATGAGATCCCCCACTCAGTGGAAGGCCCTTTTGAACGTAATATTTGTTTACCGAGTAATCGGGAAGACATTATTATTTTTGACCTGGGAGCTAGAGAAGCTGGAAACCGTAGAACCCTAACCCATCTTAGCCTTTTAGGTGTAGCGCGGAGATTATAACGGAGTAATCCGGAAGTAATTGTTACGCGATGCTACGCTCGGATGAGTTTCTCTTGAGAATATTGCTGATTATTGAGTAATCAAGACGTTGGTAATATCCGAAGGAGGAATGTAGACTCCGGGAACTCTTAGAACCTTGTTCTACAGGTGTGATTAAACCGTTAGTACATACCTTGGGGGTGTTCCTTACCTTGACTCCATGCTCGTGACGTTGAACCTTTCAAATTTATTTGTGACCTTGCTTGTGGTTGTTGCATAGCCATGCATTCATGCAACCCTTTTTACTTGACTTTGAAGGAATTTGGAGGTCTTTCTTTGTAAACATCACAAGTTTCGTCAAGCTTAATGGATCTTGGGTGTTGATAGGGCGAAAACCCTAATCCACCAAAATGGATGATTGATCTTGATGATAACTTGATCAATGTTTGGAGCCAATTTAAAATTCATCTTCTATCTTCATACTTTGATGTTTACAACTTAATATCTTGAGTTCCTTGAAAGTCAGATAAAAACTCTCTTTTGCATATCATGCATCATTCTACATTTTTTGTTTCACTTTCAAAGGTCTTTTTCCAAGTCTTATTTTTCCTTTGGTCTCACCAGTATAACACTCGCGCTAAGAGAACAATGGAGAATATCAAGCAAGAGGTTTCTGAACTCCGTAGAGAGATGACTAATTTGAAAGCTAGTGTGGAGCGCTTAACTGGTTTGGTTGAAATTCTGGTTGCCGCCCAAGTCAATCCTTCTAGGAGGGACGAAGCGATGATAAAAGTCTTCACTGAAACTCTAAAATCATTCTCTCATGAGAAGGTGATGGTTAATGCACCTAATGACTTTCCTGACAAGGTGAATGTGGGAGTGCGTCTAGAAGAAGATGTTGGGAAGGGATGTTCATATGAAGATGGTAGCTCAACTAATGGTGTGAAGAAGTTTGATAATAACTTTTCCAAGAAGAGAACCAGAGGAAGAAATAATCATTGTCAGAATCATCATGTTTCTCCTATTCATCAACAGAATCAGCAATTTCCTAATCAGAGGAAAACCCAATTTGATCCAATTCCAATTACCTATACAGAGTTGTTCCCTATCCTGATGCAGAGGAATTTGGTTCAGACCCGACCTCCACCGAAGGTTCCTGAGAAAATACATTGGTACTACAAAGCTGATTTGGCTTGTACCTTTCATCAATGTGCTCCTGGGCATGACTTGGAGGGTTGCTTTGCTTTGAAGATTGAGGTTCAGAAGTTGGTCAGAAGCGGTATCTTGTCATTCAAGGACGTTGGTTTTGAAGTTCAAATCAAGCATGCGCCGAAGAGTAAACACGATTGATAGCGACTTTGATTTTTGAAGGATGTTTTCGGTAATTCAAGTCCAGATGGAAAGCCTTCCCAGATTATTAACTTATTTATGCTTTTTGTAATTTTTCTTGTTTATCAAAATATTGTTTGCATGTAAGAACTTGTTTGCATCTGAATGATTATCTTAATACAATGGGTATGTTTGTCTTGAAGAAATTCATTCGTTTCACTCATATTTGTTTTCAAATTTTAAATTTCTTTTTGCATTATGATACCAACTTGTTGCCCATTCTCTTGCCTAGGCAGAGATTGAAGGGAGGATGATGATCTAAAAAACACAAAATCTTTGGTTGCATGCTTTTGAATAAGATCTTGTTGATGATGTACATGCATTGTTTCTAATCCCTAAACACCGGAGATATAAGGAAGATAATCCCTTGCTAACCCCTTTTGAGCCTTGAAGTAGAAGTTTCTTTTCTATACGAAAAAACCCTCAACTTTTAACCTGGGGCAGGGTAGTTTTCAGTTAATCTGATTGAGTGTTCAAAATTCATTAGGAAGATATTTCTGAAGAGAAACTACGAGGGCTATCTTTCATGTATAATGAAGCCAGAAGATGTGGAATCACAATGTTATCCCTCATTCATCAAGAAACGAGGCAATCACAATCTTCTCAACAAGCAAATACAAGCTAATGTCACACATTTTGTTCAAAAAGTCAAAAATCGAGAAAAAAGCCTGCTAAGTCAAAAAACATGAAAACGTGTGACTTAGGAAAAATTAAGGCATCCCGTTGGACTATCAATTCAAAAGAATTAGTTCAGGAAAAAGTTAGGGAAAATAAAATCGCAAAGAAAAGGACTGCAAAGAAAAGTCCTCAGCAAAGAACAAATTGGTGACTACAAATACGAAGACATGAGGGTGGTTTCTATTCTGAAAGCCTCGCCGTTTCCTTGACCGTCACAAAATCCTTTTGAAAGATGAACACTCATGTTGAATTAACTGAACATAGGGTTGGAGAACATCATGAAGAATGGGTGGGCACCAAATATTTTGAGCCTTAAAATCTTTTTTCTAAAAACCATGAACCAGACCACGTTACAACCTTCAAAAGTCCTAATTGAAGCAAGGTTATTTTGAAAGCATACTTCAATGAGATAGTGTT